GGGTTCACAGAAGTCTATTGAACGTTGTAGGGCTTAGCTCGCAGCTTCATTGCTGTTTTTCCCTCACTTCCCCTTACTGGTGACGAACGTGTTCACGAATTAAAACGTGTATTCCCGTTGAGTCTTAGTCTTAGAAGGGGGTTTGTCCTGAGGAGACCTGACCACTTGCCTTGATGTCTCCTGGGCGAGCAACTTGCTTGTTCTTATAGTAATCAGTCGGTTTGCCTATATTGTTTTGCATTTTACCTGTCGGTCTTTCTTTCAAGAAGTAGATATCCTTGTTTTTAACTATGTGGCTTGCTGAATTAAAGCAGTTGAATTTGATACAAGTTCAGTGTCATTTTCTCCAAGAATAAATTCATCATTCTGGGCTTGAGATACTGAACAAGATATCTGCCCTCTGAACCCTATGGCTGTATTTTCACCCAAGAAGGTTTAGAGACCCGCCCTCTTGGATAACAACAATCACAGGCAAACACACAAAGCCCTCATCATGTGACGGAAACCCAGCATAACGCCTGTAATCCTACTCGGCACAGAACTAGAGAAGGTGCTGGCTGGAGCCACTTCCTTTCTGTTTCCCACCAGGGAGACTGAGTTCTACATTGATGTGCGTAAAGGCCCTCCGAAAGGTTCCTGTGGGGCCCTTCACACTGATGCGAGGCCCTTCACACTGATGTCGACAGTCTGGTTGCTGAGAATGGCCTTCATTCTCTCAGTAGATGCAGCAAAGCTGAAACCTTCTTTTTAGTGGGCGTATCACTTGCCAGGTGAATTGCTGCACCTTTGTATTTGGAATATTCCTGCTCTTAGACATTTGGGAGCACGGTGGCTCCATAAGATAAGCACTGGGCTGCAGTTTGAGCCCATCAGCCGCTGCTCGTGAGAAAGATGAGGCTTTCTGCTCCCATGAAGATTTAAAGCCTCAGAAACCCTACCACAGGGTCACTCTGAGTCTGAACCTGTTCAAAGGCACTTAACAACAACTCTTAGACATTTAAGTGGCTTTGGTATTTATTTGACTTTTGAAAATAATATTTTTATCATGTATTTGGCGAAGGTTTTTATAAATGTTTATTTCCATTCAACAGTTTCTACACAAACTGTCCAGTAGAAGTGGTTTTGTTCTTCACCATGCATGAATTTCCTCAATCTTTCTATTCTGTTTGTTCCTTTTCTATTAATCATGTTTCCTTTTCTCTACGTTGTTGCTCTTACGGGTTTTTTGTAAGTACATAGTTATTAATCATTGGTGATGTTCTTTATCTCGTGAGCCAGTCAGTTATATAACTAAAAAGTGACCTCGGGAATAGTTTGTTTTTTTTTTTAGTGAGAGTGAGGTTTTCTTTATTTGATTTTACAAAATCGGAAGTCCAGCCCCGTAGACAAGGGCAGACACCAAAAGTGACCTCGGGGATAGTTTTGCTTCCAAGTTTTCAAGAGGATCTCAGGGATCTCTTGGGGAGACTTGCATTCTCGGTTTAGGGTTTCTGAGGAGTGGCTGGTGAGCTTGAACTGTATCCTTGCAGTTCAAACTGACCTTGTTGTGAGTGCTTATCCTATAGCCCCGCACCAGAACTCCTGAGTTCAATTAGTTGAAGTCTTGAAATGAGGGGTCAGTAGTGGTAGCCAGGCATCATTTAGTTCACTGATCTGAGGGTAGATAAGCCAGAGTTTCTATAGAAAATTAGTGCAGGGAAGTTTCTTTGAATCTTTGGTTCCCTTCTCTTTTGTTTTGGGTGAGTAAAGACCAACAGTTGCATCTTAACATTGACAGGAATTTTATTGTCTTAAATAAGACAATAAAAGAACTTCTGCCTGGATTTACTTTCAACAGTCATGGAAGCAGCAGTCAGGAAATCATATGACATATTGCATTAGGTAAATCTGTTGCACAAGACCTCTTTAAAGTGTTCAAGAGCAAAGATGTCAGTTTGAGGACAAAGGTGCTCCTGACCCAAGCCTCTCGTATGCATAGGAAAGTTGAACAGTGTATAAGAAGTTCATAGAAGAACTGATGCATTTGAGTTATGGTGTTGGAGGAGAATATTAAAAATACCATGGACTGTCAAAAGAATAAACAAATCTGTCTTGGAAGAAGGGACCAATCCTTGGAGAAGGACATCATGTTTGGTAAAGTAGAGGGTCGGAGAAAAAGTGAATCCCCAACAAGATGGCTTGGCACAGTAACAGCAGCAACAGACTCAAGTGTAGCAAGGATTGTGGGAATGACTTGTGACCAGCAGGGGTTTCCTTCCGTTGTACACAGGGTCGCTATGGGTCAGAACCGACTGGACGGTACCTAACTGCAACTAACAACAACATGATAAGCTTGGTCTTGTATAAAGTATTTTCCCTAAAGCTCAGTTGTGAAAAATTGATCCTTTCCTTTAGCCAATTTGTCACATGTTGAAAGTACTTCTTCATGAGGTAAATTGGCGGTTGCGTAGATAGGTCCTTTTATACTGTGCCATCTGTGAATCGTCTTATCTACCAGCCACGTTGTTAACGTTGTTCAATGTGATAAAGTCAGTTCCAACTCATAGCGATTCTGTAGTATTGCTGAGCAGTGGCTGGTGATTTTGAACCATTGACTTGTCCTACAGTGCCGTACCAGGACCCCACCAAACACTGGAAGACGTGAATTCTGCTTTTCCCGTTCTAGAGTTATTCCTTCTGTATACTGTGTTTACTGATCTGTTGTTTTCCTTTCTGTTTTATTTTGTTTCCTCCTAGGAATGTATGACCTTAGTTTAGAATATCTCAGAATATACTAGACGGTTCTTCAGGCGCTGGCACTTTGTCACTACATTTACTCCTCAGAGCTGCGCGGTGATGAGGTGTGTGGTCTCCTCTTCATTCATATGTGGAATGTGAGAGACCTCTCAGATTCCCGCAGGAAACCTAGGGTCAGGAGTGCTGGGCATTCTGGTCAGTGAAAGAGGGCAAAGAGGAATAGGAAGGCGCTCTCCTTATAGAGAGGACCATCTGGTCCCTGAGGTTCCTGGAGCAGTGGCCTCAGAGGGAGGTGACTTCCACAGGTGACTCTGCCCCTGGCCCCTCCTCCCTGTGCACCTCTTCTCTTCCCAGCATCACCCTCCTCAGGGCCACTGAGGTGCTCACAGCTCCCTCCTGACAAGTACAAAGATTCGATTCGTCTGGTCGTCAAATGGTTATTTCCTCCGTAGTAAGGAAAAACATTACACCGTGTTGTAAGAGAAAATAACAGCTTGGAATAGAAATATTTGCAATATGTTGCTGAAAACCACAAAATTTCCTGTAGACATACTACATGGTCATAGTCATATGTCATAAAGGAAAACAAGTGGATCCAAGAAAATGAAATCTTTGGCAACATCAGTCTTTTCTCCGTTTATCATAATGTTATTTATTGGTCCAGTGGGGAGGATTTTTATTTTCTTTCCATTGAGGTGCAACCCGTAGCAAAGGCTGTGATATTTGATCTTCATCAGTAAGTATTTCAAGTCCTTTGCTTTCAGAAAGCAAGGTTGTATCATCTGAATATCACATTTCCTGTTTTATCCTTGAAATAAAGTTGTATTGCGTGAGTCATTGAGGCAGTATACAAAGAGCAACAAGCTAAGATATATGGGAGAAATTGTTCGAGGTCACCTCACTAGTAATGGACCCATCATTGGAATATCCACTTAGGCATAGTAGTAACAATGCAGCGTGTTGGATGTTGGAGTTCATGGATGTGGTGTGTGCCTGAGAGTTGAGAGGTGGAATACATACCTGTCCAAAACAGGACACCACAAGTTTATTCGTTTAGCAAACATGAAAAGTACTAGCTGGGTAGGTAGGGTGTGTGGTAGGAAATTGGTGCTGGTGGTGGTGAAGTGCCATTGAGTCAGTTCCGACTCATAGTGACCTGTATAGGATTTCCAGCTAGCAGCTGGTGGGTTTGAAGTGACCTTGTAGTTAGCAGTTCAGTGCTTATCCCACAGCGTCACACCAGGACTCCCGGAAGTTGTTGTTGGTTGTTGGTAAGAACCATTGAGTTGGTGACCCTATTTAGGGTTTCTGAGGAGCGGCTGGTGAGCTTGAACCATTGACCTTGTGGTTCAAACTGACCTTGCAGTCCAGTGCATAACCCATAGCACCAGTTGGGCTGCTAACCTCAAGGTGTCGGCAGTTTGAAACTACCAGCTGTTTGAAACTACCATGGCAGTTTGAAACTACTATGGGAGAAAGATGAGGCTTTGTGCTCCCATAAAGATTTACAGTGTTGGAAACCTTATGCAGGGTTGCTATGAGTTGGAACCGACTCCATAGCACATAACCACCACCGCTACCATCAAATTCCATTGAGAATAAAATGACCATCTTCTCTGAGGCAGATGGTAAGATGAATATAAAAAGTAAACCTTGTGTGTCTCCCAGCATGCAACTCTGTAGCATTCTAGGAGTTTATTCTGAGTAAGAATATAAGGGCTCTCATTCATTTCCCTACTGTGAGTAGAAGCTAGGGCGTATCTGTGTATAGCGTTGGCAAGCTAGGAGAACAGCAGTAAAATCTACACATTGATTCATGTTTCTCAAAATCTAGAACTGCTTCCCCTCATCTTCCCAACCTTTTCAAGTGGTCCCTAGTCCTGAGACTGGGTGTACATGTGTTTGATGTTGCAGGAAGCAGTGACATTCAAGGACGTGGCTGTGGTCTTCACTGAGGAAGAGCTGGGTCTACTGGACCCTGCCCAGAAGAAGCTGTACCAAGATGTGATGGCTGAGAACTTCAGGAACCTGGTGTCAGTGGGTGAGGCCGGCCTCTCTCTTGAGGGTTTTTTAGCTAACATTTTCAAGATTTCGAATGGTTACCTGACTCTGGGGAATTGGTTCTCTTCCCAACAGTTTTTAATGAAGTACAATGGTAGAAAAGAGCAGGATTCCCTAGGAAAGACCGGTCACGCATTCCAGCACAAACTCTGGCCAGTTACATGTGTGGTGTGGGTGTCAATGGAAGAGATGCCGTGAAAACAGACATTGGTTTAAAAGCAGGTCAGCCTGTGTGCTGGTAGAATGTACTTAAGTGTATGTTTGTGGATCTTGAAATGCCATTTCTTCAAGTGTGTCAGCTCATAAAATATGCTTAAAAAACACTGCTTCTGATAAATTCTTGAGTTTGCGTTGAATGACAAGATTCAAGTAAATTGTACCAGCAGTGTGTTCTTTCTGTTTTTGGTTTTTTGAACTTTTTATGGTGAATTGAGTGACAGTTTATAGATCAGATCATGAGTCCCACATTCAACAAATCAACACGTTGGGTCATTGCAATGATTACAGTCCCACCCACGGACCATCAGTCAACAGTGTTGCTCTCTGTTCTCTTTAAGTCTGGCACTCCTGAGTGTTTCTATTACCTTCATCTTCTCTGTGCCAACCACCCTCTTCTGTATTGTCTTCCTGCCTCATCACTTAATCTGTGTCTACCCTCTACTCCATGAATACTTCTCCCTTCCCTCTCATCCCTGGGAACCATCATAGAATGTTTCTTTTAACGAGAAAACCATTTTTTTTTTAACTTTTTACAACAGTGGTCTCATATAATACTTGTCTTTACGTGATTGGCTAATTTTACTCATCATAATGTCTTTCAGGTTCATCCATATTATGAGATGTTTCACAGATTTGTCATTGTTATTCAACATTGTGTAGTGTGTATGTACCAAAGTTTGTTTAACCATTCTTCTTTTGATGGACATTTAGGCTGTCTCCATCTTTTTATTATTATGAATAGCTCTGCAATGAACAGCATATATATCGATTCATGTCACGGCTCTTGTGTCTTGAGGAGGGTACATACCAAACAGAGGGATTGCTGGGTCATACTGTATTTCTATTTCTCACCTTTTGAGGAAGCGTTAGGCTGTTTTCCACAGTGGTTGCCCTGTTTTACAGTTCCACCAGCAGTGTAGGAAGGTCCCAGTCTCCACACCCTCATCAGTGTTTGTTTTCTGTGGTTTTTTGTTTTTTTCTTGAACTTTGTTTTCATTGCTGGGGTAATATGTTATCTCATTGTTTTGATTTGCATCTCTAATGACTACTGATCTTAGCGTTTTGTTGGCTGCCTGGATGTCCTTTTTAGTGAAGTGTCTGTTCATTTCCTCTGCACAATTTTTAATATTGTCTTCTTCATGTTGAGGTATTAAAGTGTTCTGTAATTTCAGATAGTAGCCCCTTGTCTGATATGTCATTGCCAAAATTTTTCCCTGTCTATGGATTGTCTTTTTCCTCTTGATGAAATCTTTCCATGCACATAGGTGTTGGATTTTGAGGAGGTCCCAGTCATCTGTTTTGTCATCTTCTATTTGTGTGCTATCAGTGATGTTTGACAGTGTAAGTATGCCATGTATCAGAGCCCCTGAGTTTGTCCTTGGTTTTTTCATTGATGATCTTTATGGCTGTAGGTTTCAATTTATTTAATTTATTTTTCTTTTGTAGGTTTCAATTTTAAGTCTTTATTTCACAGAGTTCTTTTTTTTTTTTTTTTTTAATGTGATGTAAGATACGGGTCTTGTTTCATTCTGCAAATGGATTTTCAGGTTTTCCAGCACCTTTTGTTGAAGAAACTCTCTTCCCCTTTTAATGTGTTTTTAATCTTTGTCAAAGATGAACTGACTGTGGTGGTGTGCCGTGGAGTTGGTTCCGACTCATAGCGAACTGACCATAGGTGGATGGATGGATTTCTGAATTCTCAATTCTGCCCCACTGATCTCTGTGCCTCTCGTTGTACCAGTTCCAGGCTGTTTTGACCACTGCGGCTGTGTAGTAGGTTTTGAGATTGGGAAGTGAGAGGCCTCCTACTGTGCGTTTCTATTTTAATAATGCTTTGTTTATCCAAGGTCTCTTTCCCTTATGTACTCTAAATTAGTGATTAGTTTTTTTCATCTCTTTAAAGAATGATGTTGCAGTCTGGATTGGGCTAGAATTATATGTATAGATTGCCTTGGGTGGTGCTGACATTTTCACAGTGTTTATAGTCTTCCTATGCATTAGCCTGGTGTTTTTCCTTCCAGTTTTGTACATCTCTTTTGGCTTCCTGTAGTAAGGTTTTGTAATGTTCTTTGTATAGGTCTTACATTTCTCTGGTTCGATTTATTACCAAGTATTTCATCTTTTGGATTGCTGTTGTAAATGGTATTGTTTCCCTAATTTTCTTTTCAGAACAGTGTATCAGTATAAAGGAATCCAATTAATTTTTTTTCCAATTTTTAAATGTTGAACTTGTATCCTGCTACTTTGCTGAATCTTTCAATGAGTTCCAATAATCGTCTGCTATAGGACATAGTAGAACTGCTCCATAGGATTTCTGAACTGTAAATCTTTCGGAAATAGACTGCGTGTCTTTTTACCCATAGAGTGACTAGTGGGTTTGGACTACTGAATTTTGCTTAATAGTCCAATGTTCAACCCATGGTTACTCCCCAGGGCTCCTTAAGGCTAGTGAATTAGCAACTTAAATTTCTTCTGCCACCTTGATTTCCCTGAATTGCCATGAACTTTTAGTATATATTTTAGGGAATTGTGGTTAGGTGTTGTGGAGTTGGTTCCGACTCATAGCAACCCCGTGCTCAACAGAAGGACACACTGCCCGGTCCTGAGCCGTCCTCACAGTTGTTACGTTTGAGCCCATTGCTGCAGCCGCGGTGTCAGGTCATCTCTTCGGAGGTCTTCCTCTTTTTCGCTGACCTTCCACTTTCCTAAGCTGGTCCCTTCTGTCTTATGCTAGAGGGACAGTTCAGGATGAGAGTAACAGGAGCCATAATGTGACATGTTGCTACACTTCTCATGAGCTCAGCGTTTGGATAATGTGTCTGATGGCAGAACTTGATAACTTCCTGGATTCGTTTACCAACATTTTGCATATAAACCAGTCAGAAAGGTGTCTCTGATTGTAGCCAATGAAACATTTCATGTGTATGTAGATTTGCATATGACTTCGGAAAGTGTTTCCTGAGATGATTTTTTTGCTTTTGATTCTTTTCTGTTTTCTGTCTTTTATTTTTCTTAATGTTTGACACAAACTTTTGAATTTCTTTCTTAGTTCATTATGAACTACAGTCTTCAATTTGAAAACTTGTTGTGAGTGGTCCATTTTATCTACACGGATTTTCAAAACTCTGTTTCCAAAGAGACAGCAAAAAGCTCCACCCAGAAAGAGTCTGTGTTGTCTCTTGCACATTTCACTAGTGATTTTTGTTACCTCTGATGGCTCCTCAGCAACACCACTTTTGTTGGACCCACGTCTCTGGTACAGCTTTGCAATTTCTCAGCAAAACTACAATTCCCTTCTCCTTTCTTGTTTTACTGCACTTGCTTGGAAAAGCTTTGTTCTTTGATGTGGCTGAAATATTCACTAACACATCAAACATGGATGGATATATTCATTCAGCGTGCACTTGTTGAGCACTCACAGTGAGCCTTGCACTCTTCGGCACAGTGGATACGAAGCAGGAAACCCTGAAAATGCTTGCCCTTGTTGAAGGACTTTCTAGTGAGAAAGACAGACAAGAAACACGGTGACCCAGATAGCACGTCAGATGGCACTAACTACTGTGTCACATGTGGACAGTCAGGGGACATTGCCAGAGCTGAGTGGACTGCAGACAGGCTGTATAATTTTTCATTGAACTCACTGATAAGCTGACACTTGAGCAGAGACCACAAAAGCAAGGTACTATCCATGGAGGTCTCTTACTTGGCTAGAAAATTCCATTGTGCCCTCTTCTTTTCCCTCTCCCCAGCTCTGTTTCTGCCCTCGTCACCAAAGATTCGTTTGCTCTGGCTCACGTTTTCCCCGGGGAGTTATGAAAGTGTGCAATGTGGTTAACATTCATCACAGCGGATGCCATCACATCAACTTTTTGCTCTTTGTCCTTCTGAGGGAATCTCCTCAGCAGGAGCTAAAGGAGCCCTCACTCACAGCTTGTGTGCCTCATTTTAGCCTATCCAGGCGCATGTGTATTTCTTCTAAATCTGCAAGTTATCACTTGTGCAGCCATTTGAGGGCCTCCTAGTGTAGCGCTGTGGGCTAACGCACTAGACTGTAATGTGTGTTTGAACCACAAGTTTGGTGGTTCAAGCTTGCCAGCTGCTCCTTGGAAACCCTGTCAAGGACCGCTGTGTGTCTGAACCGAGTCGACAGCACTTAACAACGACTGTTCCTTAGGCATTGGAGTAATTGTCCCATGAAATATTCCAAGACCGAGTTTCACACATACTGCCAACACAGACAATGTCGCATCCACATCGGGCATTCCTTCCAGGAGAAGACTGGCATTCTCTCTCTTCTGTAAAAACTTCCTTAGACGGTAATTTTTTTATGGCATTCCATTAGGAAGTTTTCTGAGAAAATCATCTAAAAATATTCAAACTTTTAATTGTGCTGTTGATTTTCAGTATTATATATGTTTTAGTTGTAAAAATATACTCCACAAAACATGTATCTTGTTAATTCTTTATTTTCAACATGATTTTTCTAACGACGTAATTTACTATCCGAGGTTCACACTCCCTGAAATTCAATAGAAATTGTAACGGGTTAACAGTTTGTTTATCACATTACTAATTATTTTTAATTAAGGCTTTGATTTCTAAAGTATATCGCACATAGTGGATTTGGTGTTGAATTCGCTGGTAGGTTGGGCTGGAGTCACGGGGTGTGACAGAACTCGCAAGTAGGGAGGTTCAAAGGAAAAGGCTGCATTCACTTTCCAAGGGTGGAAAGGGGCCTAATGTCAGAGAGAAGTGTCAGCCTGGAGGGTCAGGCCTTTGGGGCTTTTATTGGGTTTTTTTTTTAGGAGGGAAGGTAAAGGTGGGCTGCAAACAGGTGGAATGGGAGGCAGATTTACAATGTAAATGGTGGTGCCCTCTGGGCTAGTCTAGCAGGATATTGGGATGTCATTTAAGATATTGTCCATGGGGTGAGCATCACAGGATATTGGGAACTGACTAAAAATAAATTGTCTGTTTATGGCCTCTGGGCAGAGTGTAGGAAGTCACTTCTCAGTGGGATTGGCTGCGCTTCATTCCTGAAAAACAGGCTCTCGGAGGGGCCAGCAGTTCTGTATTCCTCCAAAGCCAGCTGAGTAGAGCAGTCTGGAAGCTTATAAGAGTTTACACACTGCACATGAGTCCTTTCAATAGCAACAGGTTAACAGTTTATATCCTGTTACCTGTTTTTTAGAGTCCTGGGGTGTCACTGTAGGATAAGCACTGGACTGCTAACTGCAAGGTCATCATTGTAAACCCACCAGCCGCTCACCGCTCCTTGGAAACCCTGTACAAGGTTGCTGAGTCAGAACCTGCTTGATGGCACTTAATAACAACAACCTGTTTTTTAATGAGGGCTTTCTTTTGTAAATTGTAGTGAATTTAGTGTTTTTCTAAAGTACCTTGTTAATGGCAGGTAAACCAGAGAACATGATAGGCAATGGGAAAGAATCATTGAACTTCTCTTGGTTCAGTAATAATATCTCAGCCCCTATCTAAGTGTGAAACATTAAAAATGCTTAACAAGTCCTTTACTTGTCTCTGTCTCTGAATTCTCTGTTCTTACAGGAGGCAAGATCCCAAGGCAGATGGAGACTTTTCCACAAGCAGGAGCCCACGAGGAGCTTTCTTGTTCTCCAGTATGGCAACAAATCCCAAGTAACTCAATCAGGTGCCAAGATTCCATGATAAATTGGTCTCAGTTCTACAAACAAGATGATTCACCCTCTTCAGTTGCAGGAGGGCTATCTGTTATTTACAATGGAGACTCATCTCAACTGTGTAATGAGTATACAGAAGACTCCAGTGACGTCTCTAGCTTTGATCTTCATCAGCATTCGCACTCAGGATTGAAGTCTCTCACATGTAATGAATGTGGAAAAGGCTTCCGTTATATCTCAGGACTCCGTAACCATCAGAGAATTCACACGGGAAAGAGTCACTACCAGCGTGATGAGTGCAGTAAGGTGTTTAGTCAGAGCTCACATCTGCAAAGCCATCTGAGTGTCCACACTGGAGAGAAACCCTACAAATGTGAGGAGTGTGGGAAACGCTTCAGACATCGAGCGACACTCAATGTCCATTGCAAAGGCCACACAGGAGCCAAACCTTACAATTGTGAGGAATGTGGGAGGGCTTTTATATATCCTTCACATTTTCAGGAACATCAGAGAATCCACACCGGGGAGAGACCTTTCAAATGTGACATATGTGGTAAGAAATTTTGTCGTAGAGCAGCACTTAATAATCACTGTATGGTTCATACAGGAGAGAAACCGTACAAGTGTGAGGAGTGTGGTAAAGCGTTTGCTCGTAACTCGTATCTTTATAAAATCCATCAGAGGCTTCACACAGGAGAAAAACCTTATAAGTGTGAGGAATGTGGTAAGAGCTTCATTCAGCCTTTTCAGTTTCAGGCCCATCAGAGAGTCCACACTGGAGAGAGACCGTACGTATGTAAATTGTGTGGGAAAACCTTCATTTACAAGTCACAATTGCGTTCCCACCAGGGAGTGCACTCTGGAGAGAAACCTTACAAATGTGAGCAGTGTGGGAAGAGTTTCAGGACCAAAATTCATTGTCAGGTTCATATGGTAGTCCACACAGGAGAAAAACCCTATAAATGTGATGTGTGTGGGAAGGGCTTCCGTCAGAATTCATATGTTAAAATCCATCAGAAGACCCACAACGTAGAGAAACCTTACAAGTGTGAGGAGTGTGGGCAAGGCTTCAATCAGAGTTCACGACTTCAAGTTCACCAGGTGATCCATACTGGTGAGAAGCCGTACAAATGTGATGAGTGTGGGAAGGGCTTCAGTCGGAGAGCAAATCTTCAAATTCATAGTAGAATCCACACAGGAGAGAAACCCTATAGTTGTGAGAAGTGTGGGAAGGTTTTCAGGCAGGTTTCAACACTTGTAACCCATCAGAGAATCCACAGTGGAGAAAAACCATTCAGATGTGAAGAGTGTGGGAAGAGATTTTGTCAGAAATCACAGCTTCATTGTCACCAGAGAATCCACTCCAGAGAAAAGTCATGAAGATTTGAGGGTCACCATCTCGATCATCGTCAGAGGATCTACACAAGAAAGAGAAACCAAACCAAACCAGTGTGGGTAGTGTGGTCATACAGTTATACCTCAAGTCTTCAGGGCCCGTGCTGGAGAGAAGCCATACAAATTGCTGTGTGTGATAAAGTCTTCCGCCAGACTTCAGAGCTTCAGTTTCAGTGTAGAATTCACAAAAGCGAGACCTTGTTAATGTGAGACATGTTGTAAACGCTTCTTGTTAAGGTCTTGCTTTACATCTTACAAGACACCAAAGATTCCGTGGTGGTGAGGACTTTTTTTTTTAATGATGAGAGTGGCAAGAATGTAGGGAATTCTCTCAGAGTAAAGAAATCTTATAAGATGATGTTTATAAAAACATTTGCTATCCAAATTTTGTGCTCATCAGGTTTCATAGGAGGGAAACAGCCGACAACCCTCTTATAAGTGGGGGAGTAAGAGCTTTAGTCAGAATCTTCGATGTTACCAGATGTCATTCAGAACACAGGCCTTAAGAAAGGATGCGTTTGATCATAACTATAATGATGGCTACATCAAAACCAATGTTTACTAGAAGATCCTTGAAGGTGGGAACTTGTGTTGATGAATCTGGACAACCTTCACATGAGTAGCAGTTCTTAGGCATGCTTAGAACTTGTTTGTTAAAGAATGTTTTGTTTTTAAGTGCCATTTGAACAGTCCAGTGCCTATCCCATGGCACCACACTAGGAGTCCATTTACAGAATAGAAAAGAGAAAGTATACACTTGGAAGTATATCCAGGGGAGGAAACTGGAGAAAACAATTTCCATGAAACTGTCATTAGGTGAAATGGAGAAATTTATTTGCTACTGTAATTTATATTACTATTTTGACATTTACCTAGTTGACTGCTGCCCTCCAAATATCCTCTCTGTTCTCAAGGTTATTTTGGCCCATCGTCTAGTCTGATTGATTTTTCTCTTTTGTTGCACGATTTTAGTGTCACATCCAAGAATCCATTGCTAGGAATTAGATTGCAAAACATCACTCCTCTGTTTTGTTCTAAGAATTCTATGGTTATAGTTTTTGCATTTAGTTTGTTGATACATGTGAGTTCATTTTCATGTATGTTATGAGGTACAGGTCCAGCTTCATTGTTTTACTTGTGGAAATCCAGTTGTATCTCAACCATTTATTATACAGACTAGTTTTTCTCCCGTTACATAGTCTTACCACCTTTGTTGGAAAATCAGCTAACCATTGTTGTTGTTGTTAGGTGCCATCGAGTCAGTACCGACTCATAGTGATCCTGTGTGCAGCAGAACGAAACACTGCCCCATCCTGGGCCAACCTCACTATTGTTGCCACGCTTGAGTCCATTGATGCTGCCGCTTTACCAATCCATCTTGCTGGGGGTCTTACTCTTTTCCTCTGACCCTCCACCTTACCAAACATGATATCCTTCTCCAGCGACTGGTCCCTCCTGACAATATGTCCAAAGTATGAGAGACGAAGTTTGGCCATTCTGGCCTCCAAGGAGCACTCTGGCTGCACTTCTTCCAACATGGATCCGTTTGATGCAAAAATTTGTTTCAGGACTCTCAACTCTAAAGATACACGTGGTTATTCCAGTACCAGGATGTTTTTTATTATAATCTGTTTGATTGTAGTATAGTTTGAAGTTGTAGGAAATATGTGAGTCCTACAATGTTCTTTTTTAAAATTTCTTTAGCCAGTGCAGTGTTACATATGTTTGAGGACTGGCTTTTCCATTTCTGAGGTGAGCCTGTTAGAATTTTGATAGGGATTGCGTTCACAGGCTCTGGGAGTTAGGGCTTCCAACACAGACCTTTTTGGAAAACACAGTCAAGTCAGTAGCAGGATTAGTGGATATCAACATGCAAAAGGATGAATTGGGGCCTTACCTCATCCCATATTAAGAAGAAGAAGAAGAGATTCAGATAGATCCAAAAAACAAATGTCAGAGATAAAACAATAGAATCCTTAGAATAAGAAATTATACAGGCAAATCTTCATGACTTTGGATTTGGCAATAGATTCTTAGATACAACACCAAAAGTACAAGCAACAAAAGAGAAAAAGATAAACTTTCACAAAGTTAACATTTTCTGTGTGTGTGTGAAAGTGAAAAGGATATGATAAAGAAGCCTGATAGATGGAAAGAAAATATTTGTGAATCACGTACCTGTTAATGTGTGCTATGTAAAGAAGGCTTACACCTCTACAACAAAATGGCAATTAAAAACAGGCTAAGGGTCAAAACAAGTATGTATTTCTACAAAGACATGCAAACAGCAGACGCTTGAAAAGAATTTCACTATTACATGCCATTAGGAAAATGGAAATCAAAACCGCAAGGAAAAATTCTACTTACTAGGGTGGTATTAATAAAAATCATAATGGGAAATACGAATTGCTGAGGTTGTGGAGAATTTGGAACCTTTATCCACACTGTAGGTGGGAATGTTAAATGGTGCACCTGACGTAAGTTCCTCTTGTTGCTGTAACACAGATTCCACACATTGGTGACTTTAAGGAACAAAAATTGTTTTCCTCACAGTTTTGGAGGCTAGAAGTTGTAATTCAGAGTGTGGCTCTGCTGAGAGGTCCGTCTCTATTTTGGCTTCTGGTATTTAGGTGAGCATTAGCGTTCTGGTTTTGTAGCTGCATCTACTTCCATCTTTGTCAGCGAGAGCTTTCTTTCAGTGTGTCTGGGTCTGTCTATCTGTGCTGCTGGTTATATAGCACAGAGTGGTTAGACTTAGGCTCTACCCTATACTGGCTTGGCCATAGCTGACAGATTAGTTATGTATTTATTACATGAGATGACTACATCCATAGGAACGTTCAGTGTCATTGAATTGATTCAGACTAATAGCAACCCTGTATAGGGTTTCTGAGGCTTTTCAAATCTTTGTAGGAGTAGAAAGCCTCATCTTTTATCCTCAGAGCAGCTGGTGGGCTTGAACTGAGGACCTTGTGGTTCACAGTCCAGTGTGTATATCATATGGAGCCACCGTGCTCCCATTCATAGGAATAGAGGTTAGGATTTCAAAATGTGTTTGGGTGACACAATTCAATTCATGACACTTTCCCCAAAAGCTAAGCATAGAATTACCATATGACTCAGTAATTAAACGCTTAGGTATATACCCTATGTTGTTAAGAGCCGTCGAATCAGTTCCAACCCATAGCGACCCTGTATAGGGTTTCCTAGGAGCAACTGGTGAGCTTGATCCGCCAAACTTGTGATTCAAACCAGCTTTGCAGCCCAGTGCATTAGCCCACAGCACTACACCAGGACTCCATATAGCCTATGGGACTGAAAAGAAATACTTCACCATGAAGTTCATAGCACGATTCACAACAGGTAGCTGGTGAAAACCCAGACACACTTAAGTGGAGCAGTGGATAAACAAGTGGATTGTCTCTGTGTACAATCGAGTATTAATCCATAAAGAAAATGACTACTGATATATGCTATAATGTGGGTACACAGTGCCAACATGTCTGAGTCAGAGAAGCCAGAAGTGAGGTCGTAGGTGATTCCATTTATAGTCACCATCCACAATTGGTAAATGTGAAAGAAGGCAAGTTTGGCGAATAGCAATGGAAACAGGAAGAGGGAACTGGAAAGAAGACTGATTAAGGCAGGCTTTTCTTTTAGTGGAGATGATAAAGATGTTTTATAACTTGAGGTGGTTTCACCACATTGTGGCATTAGGTGTTGAGTAGGTTCTGGCCCATAGTTACCCTAAATATGGATCTCTTCCAGACCATTGGTCAGGTGGTGGTTTTCCAAATTTCTTGGCATAGAAGAGTGAGTTTGTTTCTGGCTTTGCATCCATCTGTTTAAACATCTCAATTAATCGTCAATTTCTGGATCCTTGTTTTTCTACATTGCCTTTGGTTTGACTTGAACGTAAATGCCATTGGTTCTTGATCCTATGCTACCTCCTGAAATGTTTGACATTGGCCGATTCTTTCTGGTCTGATGACTGTTAACTATTTTGTTACTTCCTGTGCTGTTCAATATTTTGCATGTATAACACTTCAGTATTGCAACTCAAGGCTTGAATTTCTTCAACAATTCTTTCAGCTTGAGTAATGTTAAGCATGTTCCTCCCTTTTGTTACTGTAACTCAAGGTCTTTGCACATTTCATTATAATACCTTGTCTTCTCAAAGAGCTGCCTTTTGAAATCTGCTCTTCAGCTCTTTTACATCATTTCTTCCATAGCTTCAGCTAGCCACTTCACATTCAGGAACACGTTTCAGAGCCTCTTCTGACATCTGTTTTGGTCTTTTCTTTCTTAGCTGCCTTTTCAGTGAAGTTTTACTGTCTTCATGCATGGTATCTGTCATCCCACAACTCAACTGGTCTTTGGTGTTCAGTGTACGAAATCATTGTTTTGAGATGGCCTTTAAATTTGGGTAGAATATGTTCAAGTTCATACTTCGGCTCTCACAGAACTGATGAAAAAGACTAAATTTTTTTTGCCAGACCAATACTCTGCCAGAAAGAAAGTGAAAACAAAATCAAATGATAAATGACAAACTGGAAGAAATTGTTTGGAACTTACTTAAAATATTAAAAATTCCAAAACAGTTGCCATGGGGTTTATTCATTTAAGGAGAAAGGGCTAATTTACTAATACATATTATTTGTAAAACTGGTGGTAGGAGGGGCATCTTTGGGTACTTTCTGACGTCACAAGGGGAAAGAAGATTGTGACTCAACCGAAGAACAACGGTGCTGTGGAGTAAGGTCAGACAGGTTTCCCCACTCCAGCCTGTACCAATTCTGACACCAGCCATTCCTCTTAAGGCACATTACTCTTCTGATGGGTTCAGTAAGCCATGCAGCGGCCACACACAGTTAACAAACCATGTGCATGATGATGGGGTTTACTAGGTAAGTAAATTGAGGATTGGAAATGCTCAGCATATAGTGCTTTGATCAGGATCTTCTCAGGCATGCCTACAGGTCTCT